TTTAAGGAACACATATATTACTCTAATAGTGGAAAATTATTTTAAAATAATTTTGGGTCAAATTGTCTGAGAGTGTTACATAACAAGGTATATGTTTTGAGGGAATGTTCTTTGACCCTATAATCCTATTGATGGGGATTTCTTTCTTTTGGGGGGGTTTTCGGGCCACATCCAGTGATACTCAGGGGTTACTCCTGGCTCTGTGCTCAAGAATTACTCCTGGTGGTGCTCAGGGGACCATATGGTATGCCAAGGATTGAACCTGGGTCAGCAGGTACAAGGCAAGTGCCCTGTCACTGACTATCACTCTGGGCCCCGCTGGTGGGAGTTTCTTTTTTTGGGGGGGGGGGGGGCTCTTGCCATTTCACTAAGGGTGCAGCTGGCAACTGACTCCTGGCCAGATCCCTTTTGCTCTTGCTAGGTAAGATTTCTATTTTTTAGCGGTGGAGGGGACTGAGCCCAGGGCCTCACACATGATCTATCATTGAGCCTCTTTTGTTGTGGCTTAAGTGAGACAGTCAGAGGCTCACAGTCCAGAGTCTGAATCTCAGCTCCACCCTCTGAAGGGTTATAAGTCTCACGTGTTCCTTCCCAGCCTCCTTTTTCTCCTGTTTATGGTAGGGGTGAATGGTGCCTCCTTCCTTGAGAGGAGGATCACATGTATTTCATCAGCACATCTCTGGGCCTTGCACAGGGCCTGGTGATCAGGGAGCACTGAACACTGGCCGCAAAGTGCAGCGCGTGATGCTGAGATGACACAGTGCAGCATCTGGCAGACAGCAGCCAATGATCACTCACTAGGATTCTTTTTATTCTCAGAAATAGCTGGACCTACATTTCTGTGTCCCTTAGTGGGGCAGAAAAGGGCCGTTAGCAGGATTGTGGGCAATCTACCTCAGCTTTCTGAACCTCAGTCTCCTCACTGGTTAAACTGGGATGACAACGATGCCTTGTTGGTGGTGGAGATTGACAGGCCATCCACCGAGCACAGGAAATTCTCCTGCCAAGGGCTCTGATCCCTTTGCTGTTGTGGGTGGGTGGAGAGATGGAACTGTTCCCTCTGAAATACCAGCTTCATAGTAGAAGGAACACTCGGAAAGTGCTTATAGGGAAATCGCTGGAGCTGGGATTTAAATCAGATTCATCTGGTGATAGGGCCTCTTCTTCTGCCCACAGTGGCTCGCTCAGGCTTATGGTGCTTCCCCAGGGAGGTGCTGCCAGGTCTGAAGTGTGGCCAGGTTTTGCCTTGACATATAGAGATCCGTTCTTCCACTTTCCCATCGTTAACTGCGGCTGCACCCCCCTGGTGGACCAGTGTAATGAAAGCGAGACTGTTAGTCACTGCGCCCATTCCAAGCGCTTCTGGGGTCTGGGGTCTATAGGGAGGATCTCCCGGTGGTCTGGGGGAATGGGGGATGGTTCTGGTTCAAGACAGAGGAGGGTGAGGCCCCAGTTCATTGGCACTTTTTGATTTTTTGTTTGTTTTGTTTTAGTCACACCTAGAGATGCTTAGGGGTTATTCCTGGCTCTGGACTCAGGGATTACTCTTGGTGGGGCTCAAAAGACCATTTAGGGTGCTGGGGATTTAACCCAGGTGGGCTTTTTGCAAGGCAAGCACCCTACCCACTGTACTATCTCCCCAGGCCCTTCTTACACTTCTTAATCACAAAGTGTCAAGGATCCCCTCTGGACCCCTCCACCCCCACAAGACCGATTTTCACCTTTTCTAAACTTCTCTCTCAGAGCAGAGTCGTGAAAACACCAAAAAAAAAAAAAAACCTGCCAAACTCTAAGGGACACACACACACACACACACACACACACACACACACACACACACACACTCTTCGTTCTTTCCTGCACCCCTGTCATGCAAATTACGCTTACACGGGGCCACATAAAACACATTGCGTTTGTTTTAATTTGTGCTCATAGCTAGGTGAACACACTGGACAGAAAACGGAGAAAAACTCCTGTCATCAGACTCCACCCCGAGAAACATCCATCATGAGTTTCCTTCCAAGCCTTTTCCTCCTTGAAGGTGAGGAGGAGGAGCTCGGAATGAAAACCTCGCCGGCCTGAAACTTGCCACCGTGCCGCGACCCCCGCACCCCGCGCGCCCGGGTGCATCTCTGCGCCCGGGGCCTCTGCGCGGCCAGCGCGTGTGACCGCGCGCCCAGGAAAGCGACGCAGCCAAGGGAGCTCCAAGGGAAGACCAGCGGGGCGGGATGCGGGGAAGCCAAGTGCGCAAGACGAAGGGAGGAAGGAACCAGGTTCCAAGAGAAGGGAAGGAAAGGAGGGAAACGGGCCGAGAAGGACCAGGGGCCGGGGCCCAGGTAGAGGCAGCGCTGCGCGCACGTCGTGCAGCCGCTCGCCGTCCCGTCCCGCGGGAGACCGGGGTGCCGGGGCGGGTGCCGGGGAGGTGGTCCCGGGAGTCCCGGGGTGGGTTGCTCGCACTTACCCGACCTGAGCAGCACGGCTCGGTAGAGCCCGCTGGCCTCGGCGGGGCCCAGCGCCCGCTCGCCCAGCCGCTGTGCCATGAGCGCGAGCGTCCGACGGCCGACCCGGCCGAGCGCGCCGTCCGCGGCCCCGTCCCCGCCGCCGCCGATCGAGTTACGCCCGAGCGCCCCGGAGGAGGCCGGGCCCGCGCCCCGCAGGGGTTCCCGCCCCAGGGCGCGCCCGCCTGCAGCGCCCGGGCTCCCAGGCGTCCGGATTCCCTGCCGCGGGCTCGCACCTCCTCGTCCCTTCTACCCGGAGCCGCTGGCCAGGGCGGACGGTCCAAGGAGATGCGGGGTTCTCAAGTGCCCTCCCAGAGGTCCGGTCCCAGCACCGCCAGTTAATAGCGGCGTGACCCCGCGATTGAGCTATCTGACCTCGCAGTCTCAGTTTCCACCCCTGTAAGGGGGGGCGGTGGTGGTCACCCTACCACCCATCTCACCGAAACGGGGGAGTAACGCGCTTCCCGTCTGTCTGTCTTGCAGTCTGTCTGTCTTAGAACAAACTCTGGCAAGCACCGTGCCAACACCTGGTGGAGAGAGTTGGGGGCGGGGGGAAAGGCTGTGGCCCCCACTGTTTGTGGGCTCTGCAGGATCCGCTGTGCAGGCAGAGTCCCTCGAACAGCCCCAGATGGAAGGACAGACCAAAAGAATCTGAGGGACAAAGAGGCAAAGAGAAGGGAAGGAAAGGAGGGAAATGGGCAGACGGTTCTAGAATCCATGAGAAGCACCACGCTGTTGTCTTATGCCATGCTACGTTTCTTCTGAAACAACTCGTTGTGAGGCTGACAGGTAACTCAGCTGTTCTAACATCTGCGTTGCCGCCAGGAGGGAAGATGAGTTCCATTCTGTTTTTTTTTTCTTTTTGGGTCACCCCCAGTGATGCACAGGGGTTACTCCTGGCTCCTCACTCGAAATCACTCCTGGCAGTGCTCGGGGGACCATATGGGATGCGGTGAATCAAACCCAGGTTGGCCGTGTGCAAGGCAAACGCCCTACCCGCTGTGCTATCACTCTAGCCCCGATGAGTTCCATTCTGAACAAAAGCCCACTCACCTGGGACTCCCAACTCATCAGCTGAGTCCCATCCTGGACTCATCAGCGTGTGCAGTCTCTGTCATCATTCCCCCCAAAACTCGTGTCCACATGACAGTTAATGTGTGTGGCTGCCATTATCTCTGCAACCAAAATGTGGATTAGTATTCCTCTGCCCCCACTGTCAACACCTCAATCATAGGAAGGTAAGGGAGAAATAAAACATAAAAGAAGGAAAAAGGTAAATAAAACAATGGTTGATGATGATGATGATGATGTGTGTGTGTGTGTATTATGTACTAGTCTTTTTGTGAGTGTTTATGGGTCACACCCAACTCTGCTCAGGTCTTACTCCTGGACCTTATGGGGTACCCAGGATTGAACCTGGGCTAGCTGTGCAAGGCAAGTATCCTACCCACTCTACTGTCTCTCCAGCTCCATGCCCTGATCTGTTTAATCTGCCCAAGCCTGTGAATTAGAATTTATAGAAATTCCAGTTTCACAGATGGGAAAACAGAGGCTCAGAAATATGCAGCCGCTTCTCTGAGAGCACCCAGTGTGGAGCTGGGGCTATAAACCTGTCACCTGACCCCCAACCAGGCCACTCTGCTCCACTGCCTCATGCTCACCTCATTTTCTCTTCAGGACAATGCTGAAGCGGAGCAGTCATGTCCAGGATGGAGATGAGGTTGTTTACTTGCTCATATTCAAAACAATGAGTTGGAGGAGTCAAGTCTTCAATAAGTTCTCCAGTCTCAAACCAATCCCCTGAAACTTACAGATTCTCTGGGGCTGCCCAGAAATGGGCAGCTCTGTGTGCACATTCAAGGCTCTGTGTGGGTCAGGGACCCTCAGTCTAGCTGTTTTCTCTGCAACCAAAGCGTTGGCGTCTTCACTGCACAACACCATCTCCCTTTGCCTCTGTTTCTTTAGTCTTGGTGTCTTCTAGGTCAACTACAAGTCAGTTCCTTTCTGGGTTTCCTTGGCCATGAACCAGTCCCAGCTTCTGCTCTGACTCAGAATTCACTGTTTGTTCTTTCATACCCACTCAGGGTCCCAAAGGCCCAAGTGGCACACCCTGATCTCCAGGGACTTCACTGTTTGGTCACATGGATCATGCCTCTTGTCAACATCCAGCCACCAAGAGGGCCAGGCATGGTGCCAGACATTTGGTATTTAATAGCTCATATTCATTTTTTAGAGGAAAAAATTATATCAATTTGCCATTCATCTCATTCAGTCCATTCAGTTGCTCTTGGATCCTCTCTTTTAGATATGAGGAAAATAAGGCTCAAGTGACTAGTCGATAGTGTAACTGGAATTTGAACCCATGAAGATTTTCAACCAAGTCGACCGTTGAATAAGATGGGGGTGCAGGAAAACTGTGACTAAGGAATGTGCTTTCACAGAGCATTCCAACAGACTAACTTGCGTTGCACTCCTTGGGAATTCTGGGTAGGTCTAGCTTACCTGAACCATTTGGTCTCTGCTTCACATTTTCATGACGAAATCCGGCGTGAGGAGAATATTCTTTCTGTGAAGAGAGAGTAGGTGGAGGTGAAGACCTTCTGTTCCTTGGCAGGGGAAGATAATCATAGTGTTCCTGAATCTCTGGTCAGAGAAGGGACTATTTAAGGTCAAAGTTCTCTTCAGAGAAACAAATAAGAGAGAATATAGATGGGGATACTCAGGGTTGGGAGGCATGATATGAGACTCATACTCTCAAACTTTTTTTTAAAAAAGTAGATGATTTTTAGAATATTTTTTGATTTACAGAAAAATCCCAGAGGAAGTGTTTACAAGACTCTGATCTTGTCTCCTTTGAAGCGTTTGGTGTGTCCCTTTGCCATAGGAATCAAACATGCCTGCTTCCCCATACTTCTAAGGCCTCTGCAACCCACTCCCTGCTGCCAAATGCTCAAATATCATCACTTTGTTCATTAAAATAGCCAAGAGTTTAGGATGCCTCCATGAAGAACAGACAAAACGTGCTCAACCTTGCGGAGGGAGCGGTCTGGGGCGCAGGCAGACAGGAACAGGTCAGGAACAGGTCAAGGAAACAGCGTGTTAAAAGGTGATCAGTGTCAGGAAAAAGAAACAGTACAGGAGGGCCTGGGGCACTTAGTGGAAGGTGGGAGACAGCATGTGGGTTAATTTAGAGAGTTCTCAGAGAGAAATGGGGAGTGAGCCAAAGAGACGTTGTGGAGAAGAGAGTCCCAGACAGAGTGAACAGCTAGAGCAAGGTGCAGAGGCTGGAGGATGCTGGAATATTCAGGAGAAAGCCAGGAGCTATGGAAAGGCAGGGTAGGAGGGAAGGTCAGTGGGGAATTGGGGTCACTTGCCTCACTCTGCAGGTTCAGCCGCTAAGAACTGCTCAGGTTCCCTGCAAGCTGTGCTGTCTCTCTCCCTCCACTTTCCCCTCCCAGGGGTAGGGGTGGGTGGGTAGGGTAGAGAACGTGGGCTGGGGGAAGGCATCATCAATTACTTAGCTCTGCCTGGCTAAGTAATTCTTCCTTATCTTTAGAGCCTTGGCTAAAAGGCCACTTCCTTAAGGAGGGTCCTCTTGACCCAGCATGTACTCCCAGACGTCCCTGTGTTATTCCCCCAACCACGAGATGTCTTCTGCTCTGGACTGTGCTCTTCCCACGGGGTTCTTGGGGGCTGATCACAGGTCTTTCCCCAGGATCTGGTCCGGGGCTGGGCTTGCATTGAGGCCAACGATTATTCATTAAAAGAATGCATGAAGTGAATGGGTGAATGAATGATTGTACTCCTGTGTGGAGCTTGGGACAGTGTGGGGGAAAGCAGAAATTCCATAGAGTGAGCTGTGCTGCCCAGGGGTAGTCAGGCGGACATAGGACCCGGGGTCCTGACTTTCCCCCCGGGGGATTCCTGATCTGACCACTGCCACCAAGGAGAGCATACAAGAGAGAGGGTATTTGGGATCTGGCCAAGTCTCTTTTGTGGTTTTTAACAAAAGGTTTAAGAGGACAAGTAACTTTATCTATGGAAGAAAATTCTAGGACATGCAAAAAGGACCTGCTCCAGAGGGCGCAGAGGGGATCTGAACTTCTCCTCACATCTCCCTTCTCAGCACTGGAAAGTGGGGCTGGGTCCCCAGGGCAACATTATTAGCATCACAAAACCAGAATTTCATAAGAAGCAGCTCTCAGATCTGAAGTTCAAAGAATGCCCCTTGCCTGCCAACGCTTTTTTGCATGAAAGACTTGCTGGAAAATAAGGCCAACCTTTTGTCCAGTAAAACCCTAATGACCAAGGCAGAGGCCTCTCTCCCTTCATTGATTGGACTTTGGTTTGAGTGAGAAAGTTCTCTACTCACATGCAACTCTTTGCAAAGGCAAAGCCGATCTGAACAGCCTGGATTTTTGTTGATGTTGTTGCGGGCCATGGTTTGTGTTTTCCCAAGACTGTGCCAATAAATATTTCTAATTCTCATTTGGTCACACAATTTCAGGATAGAGAGATTTGGGTTTTGTTATACTTCCAGTTAGTGAAGGTTTGCACTCCTTATTTCTAGAGGAAGAATTCTATTATTTTTGCCTGTGGCTTAAGACATCTCAAGTGGTGGCAAAAGTCAAAGATACCGACATTTCTCCTGTCCTTCAGGTGGTCACCATCTGCTCCCACCATGTGTCTTGGACTTTCAGCAAGTACAACCCTAAATCTCCTCCTCTCTACTTTACTCTGCTGCTTCCCTTCCAGGTTGATACCTTTCCTCTGTTTTGGGGGCCACGTGTAATGATACTCAGGGGTTACTACTCACTCTGCATTCAGAATCACCCGTGGTGACTATATGGGATGCCGGGGATCTAACCCAGGTTGGCTTTATGCAAGGCAAGCACCCTGCCTGCTATACTATCGCTCCAGCCCAGGTTGATGCCTTTCTTTCAAGTGTCCAAGACAATGGAGCATGATGCCCGCTGCTAAGGCTTGGATGGAACTGGAGGGCATCGTGTGGAGTGAAGTGACACACCAGGAGAAAGATAAATACAGAACGACCCCACTCACATGTGATGTCAAAGAAACAAAGAAAGGGAACAGACATTGGCCAATGAAAACAAACCTTGAGGTAGAACTGAGGAAGCCACGAGGCAGAGAAGGGACCTAGGGACAGTGGTGGAGGGATGTTGGTACTCTGGTGAGTTGCAGTAGCACTGTAAGCCTAGAACATGAATATTAATACTAGTCTAAATAAAGATACTTCAGTACAAAGTTTTGGGAAAAAATAGTGTTATGGAGACCGTGAATACAATTCACATCACTTTTTAACCACCTAACATTTAGAAAACCTCACTTTGAAAAATGAAATAGAGCATTCATAAAGTATGCTTTTTTTTGTTTGTTTGTTTGTGGTTATACCTGACTGTGCTTAGGAATCGCTTCTGACCCTGTGCTCAGGAGTCACTCCTGGTGAGTGTGTATTTCAGCAGTTGTTTTGTTTTGTTTTCACCTTGAGTTTAAAAGTCTACAATAGGGCTGGAGTGATAGCACAGCGGGTAGGGCGTTTGCCTTGCATGTGGCTGACCCAGGTTCAATTCCCAGCATCCCATATGGTCCCCTGAGTACCACCAGGAGTAATTCTTGAGTGCAGAGCCAAGAGTAACCCCTGTGCATTGCCAGGTGTGACCCAAAAGGAAAAAAAAATTTGCAATATATTTGTGAGTGATTATATATTAGCATTTGTGGACCCACTTCATCCCTGGGAACAATAGAAGTGCTGGAGATCAAACTGGGATTAGCCAATTGCAGGCAAGTGCCCTAATCCCTGGTCCTAGCTCTGCAGCCCACTAATCTTTCAGTTTAGGGGTCACACCTGGCGGTGGTCAGGGCTTACTCCTGGCTCTGCACTCAGGTATCACTCCTGACAGGGCTCCAGAGACCAGAGAGGATGCCAGGGATAGAACCTGGACCAGCTGTGTGTCTTCATTGTATCATCTCTCTGTCTCCCTCATCTTTTTTTGGTCTAACTTTATTTAAACATCATAGTTTACAACAGTTGTTATGAGTATTCAATGTTTCAATACCAATCTCACCACCAGAGTTGACTTTTCCTTCACCATTGTCCCCAGTTTCCCATCTCATCCCCTGAAACACAAAATAATTTATTTTTATATTACTTGTCACAAAAATGGTAAATGGAATTATCAAAAATAGTTCAGTAAAAGAAAATTTGTGAACATTGTTATATCTCACAATGGTATTATTAATCATTATTTAAGAATTTACTGAGCTGTTTGTTGTTAGTTGAACCTTCTGTGTGATTGTTTTCACTTATTGAGCTTAGTGGGCTTCTCTGCTATTTTCCTAGTGAATTTACTGTGCTCCTACTGGACTGTCAGTATGTGGAATCTGGAGGTGTCACCCAGACACATAGGTGGCCTCATGTTCTAGGAGTTGTAGAGCTTTGGCCACTCTTTGGCTTGTCATCTTTTGATATTAGTCATGAAGGTGCGCCATTTATATGCCAGAGGTTATGGGGTGTGGTTGTAACTATTAGGGCTTCTGGCAGTACGGGGGTGAGGGGTGGGGGCTGTCCCCCCCCCTCAGCCCCCCCCCCCCCCCGCCCCAGCACTCTGAGAAGGTCCCATCCCAAGACTGGTATACCTCGGAGTTTCATTGGCTTGGTGTCTCTTCCAAGATTCTTCATCTTTTTTTTTTTTTTAAGTTAGGGACCCAGTGGTGGTAGAAGAAGCATCTGGGGACCACTCCCAATGAGGCCAGGCTATGCCATGCTGCTCACGGACTCAGGCATTCTGTGTGCAGGGCATGTGCCCATGCCTCTGAGGCTCTCCTAGCCCATGCACACTGATCTTAAATGGGCAGCTCAGTGAGGTTACATGTGTGGTCACCCTGACAACCATCTCCAAGTTTGAGACAAAGTATTCCTGGTACCCCAGCAGCCTCCCTTGTGCTCCTTCTCAGTCAATACCCCCTTCTCCTCAAGGAAGCTGATCTCTCACTGCATATTTATTTCTTTTGTTCTAGAACTTCGTGTCAATGGTGTCATGAAATTGCCTTTTGGGTGTGTCCGCTTTCATCAGCAGTATCTTTGAGATTTGAGTGTTCTTGCCTGCGAAGCAGCTCACTCTCCTTATTGTGTATCTTCATGCTGCTCTATCCTTACCACCCCTCAGACCTAGAGGCCCACCACCCTGTTTCCCCTCCCCCCCCAAGGCCCTGTGGGAGGAGTCCCACATCCAGATTGCAGAACCTTCCCATCCAGGCTAGGATTTTGCACGTCAGCAGTTAAGTTCTCCTCAAAGGCTTGCAGGCTAAATAAACTGCTGCTTTAGACATCTGAAATGGTTCGCTTGTGTCTAAATATAAGAATTTCATTTTTCCTGATGGTTCTTTCTCAACCTGATGGCATCTCCACTTCAGAGTCGTCAACTGGTTTTGAGGCTGGGTGTGTATTTCAGCAGGCATTTTGTATTGTTTTAAGCTTTTATTTTAAAGTCTACAATATACCCGTGGGTGATTTGTATGTTAGCATGTGTGGATCCACAGCATTCA